AAATAACTGTGAAATGTGATAAGATTGTAAAACTCATGGGTAAAAAGGCTATTTTTAGGTTAAAACACTCTGAATGTTTCATGCCAGGGCTGCTATGTGTTTAGCTCCAGAGAGAACCATTCATGTGCAAATGACACAAGCAGCTCCTCCTGAAGGTGAGCAATGCTTGGTCTTCTCTCTCCACCACCATGTCTGCAGATATTCACCAGTTAGCAACAGCAAGTCTCTACCAGGAGATCAAATAATGTGAATGTCAGTGACTGCTTACCTAAATATAGATTCAATCAAGTCCTTTGGACAACAGTTGGCCATTTCCTACTATGATTATTGGAAGACTTGAAGAGGTGTTGGAAAGAGGGCTAACTAGCAATGAGCACAGAAATGAGCAGTCACCAAGCAGTATTCAAATTAAAAATGTGCAAAGGTATCAATCAGCAAGTTTTTCCAGACGATTCTGGAAAGTGGCCACAAAAACAAGGCAAGCAGATCCATAAAGTAAAATAATATGATGATGATAAAAGACTGTGCCATGGATAAAGTTAAAGCTCAGGAGAGCTAAAAAATTGAAGGTGTAGGGAGAAAGTAATTTGAAATAAAATCCATGGTATCCATGCAAATACAGAGGCTAGGACATGAGTCAGCAAACTACCACCTGCCAATCAAATTCAGCCCACTCTGTTCTTCTAAATAAAGTTTTATTGGAACATAGCCACTTCCCTCCAGTTGTGCATAATCTATGGTTGCTTTTCCATTACAATAAAAGCAGATGCCACATGAAGCACCAATCCTAGCATGTTTTCTATTTCATTTCTACAGAAAATGTTCACCAATATTTAGCCTAAGATATTAGGGAAGGCAGACAATGAGATGTCCTTGGATAAATTTTAAAAATATATGAGAAATGATGAAATATTGTTGATCACTCACTTAGAGAGGAGTTACAGAACTAATATATGCTAAACTGGACTACTCGTACAGAGGGTGGTAATACGGGTGGATTGCCAAGCTGATATCAAGATGGGACTAAATATAGCAGACTTTCTGATATCTGGTAAACACAGTGAAATAGTTGGAATAAGGACAAGAACCAAAGATTCTTGTGAGTTGGCAAAGTCCTGTATCATATGGACATAAATATGCTTGATTCCATTAATACTTTTTGTACCAGGGATTGAACTTGGTAACCCACACTTGCGAGGTAGGTGGGGAAACCACTGAGCTAAAACCCCCATCCCTGAAAATAGTTTTTAAATGATGAGAGGTTGACTTTGCTATGCTCTCTGGGTCATTCTGTAGCCTTTTTGATAGCCTACCACAGGCGGATCTATTCACAGAGCAGGTGAACTATTTAGGATAAGACTAAGCTATTATAAAATGATCTTTAAAAATCCAGTGGCATAGGCCTAGGGGTTTAGCTTAGTGGCATCGTGCCTGCCGCAGAAGTGCAAGGTCCTGAGTTGGGATCCCCAGTACCAAAAACAAATTTAAAAAAAGAAAAACAAAACAAAACAAAAAATCCAGTGGCCTAACCATAAAAAGCAGTCCATGTGTGTATCTGAGTCAGGTTTCTACTTTAATGCTGTGTTTGCAAGGTAGCCCTAATAAGACATCTTTCCGAGATCAGATTCCTTCCAGATAGGCAGAGACTCCTGCTTGAGAAAAAATAAATTTTCCATGCATATTGTCCATGACCCTAAGAAACACTTCTAATAGGCTCAGTTTGGGGAGTGACTCAAATAGTGGCTAAAATAGGAATAGTTACATGATGTCAAGTACAATTCCCCTGAAGGAGTGCACTTCTGTCAAGCGACAAGGAAGGAATATTCCACAATTTTTTGGAGCAGAGTGGAATCTATATGTACACAGTGTTCCTTAAAATCCAAACTATTTTTGGCATTATGTGTTTCTTAGAATTTTTCAGTTTGTACAAACAAACTTATGGCCCTAATTTCATATTTAAAAAAAACTCACGAAGAATCAAATAGTTAACTTTAAATGAGTTGTGCAAGATTCCTTATAAGACTTTGAACCTTAAAGCCCATTTCCTTCTAAGAACAGTTGAATTACCTGCAGGTAATGTTAGATTGTATATGTTTATGGAGTTTATTATCCATGAATTTGAGAAATTGCTCTTTGTATGGGAATATGAAGCAAAGAAATGTGCCATTTCTTTTTCATTAGGAAAACCATATCCTAGAAGAAGTGTATCCTGATGGTTTGTTAGAATGAGCCTTTGAAATCTGGGTCCAGAATAACGGACATTTCTATCCCCTGAGAATAACTATTTCATCAGTGCACACACTATATATTTTGCAAATGTTGAAACTATGCATGCTCAATTACTGCTCCATGTGCTAGAGCTATAGTAGTGCGACATCAAAGAGACACGGATCCCTGACTCCCGGGATATTAT